TGTTTTTCAAAGTGTTTGTACCATTTTACATTCCCACCAGCAGTGTGAGTTCTTATTTCTCCACATCTTCATCAGCACTTTTCTGACCTTTTAATTCTAGTAATCCTAATGGGTATGGTTTTGATTTACATTTCTCTGGTGACTGACTAATCATTTCAAGCATATTCTATGAACTTAATGGCTATTTGTACATCTTTTTTTGGAAAAATGTCTATTCAGATCCTTCCCTTCCACCTCTTTTTTTTTTTTTTTTTGGAGTCGGGGTTTCACTGTTGATCAGACTGGAGTGCAGTGGCAGGATTACGGCTCACTGCAGCCTCTAACTCCTGGGCTCAGGCAATCCTGCCTCAGCCTCCTGAGCATCTGGTACTACTGGAGTGTGCCACCATACCTGGCTAGTTTTTTTACTTTTTGTAGAGGTGTGGGCTCCCTATGTTGACTAGGCTGGTCTTGAACTCCTGAACTCAAGCAGTCCTTCTGCCTTGGGATTATGGGGTGAGTCAACATGCCTGGTCTTTTTGCCCATTTTTAAGTTGTATTGTTTTATTATTGAGTTGTAAGGGTTGTATGTATATTCTAGTTATGAGTATTTATCAGATATATGATTTGCAAATATTTTCTCCCTTTCTATGGGTTATCTTTTTGCTTTCCCTATGCCCCATTTATTAGCTTAAGTTCATTTTAAAGAGAAACTTCTTCATTGCTTTATTACTCAGATGAGATAGTTTACATAGGAAAGGCAAGATGAAAGCTTGATTCATTGCCTTTATTTATGAGTTTTCAAAGAAAGAAATTAGTTTAGTGTCTTCACTTAGTGACCAATTGCTTTTCCTTTTTAGTGTTTAGTGTCTTCACCAATTGCTTTTTCTTTTTAGTGTTTAGTGTCTTCACTTAGTGACCAATTGCTTTTCCTTTTAAAATATCATTATGAAGTCATGAATTCAAGCCTTTGGTGTTTTCAGTGCATTTCAGCTTTTGTTCTTTGTGATGCTCAAATTGTTCTACCTTTGCTAATATGAACCTCTTTAGGTTGATTCCCAAGTACTTTTGATTTGTCTCATTATTTTTTATACCTTCTTTGCTTTCTGGCAGAAGAAGACGGTTCAGTCTCATCTTTTACATTTTCTACCCAACACCTGGAATCAACCATTTGTCCATAGGAGCCCTAATTCTCTTTTAGTCGAGCAGTATGGGTGCTAGGGGTGCTCACTGCCACAAGATTGGTCACTGTTTATAGGCCTTTCATTGGATATATATGCGAAGTATGTATGTGGAGTTTTTTGTGGTTTTTAATGACAAAATATGAGTTCACACTGATAGTTCCAGTTCATATTCAGAACTCTAAGGTTTTTACTTAAACTCTTCTGTCTCACATTTGTATATGCTTTTTCCCACACTACAATTTCTAGTTCTCAGAGTCACTGGGGATGATAGTAATTATGTTATATTCCATTCTCATTACTTTATCCCACATTCCCTAGAATAGCAATACCAATGTTAACACCAACAATATGATCTAAAAGCTATTTATTTTTTGTTTTGTTTTGTTTGACTGTAATTTTTACCACTGGACTATGTATAGCTAAACTATTGTTTTTAGAAGTTACTTGAGATAGTTTCGTCTCTGTGCTCATGTTACTAACTGGGTATATAGTTAGGTTCACTGTATTTTATTTTCAATATTTAAAAATTACTTTTTAAACTTTTTCTTTTTTTTTTTTGTTGAGTCTGAGTCTCACTCTGTTGCTCAGGCTGGAGTGCAGTGATATATTCATGGGTCACTGCAGCCTTGACCTCCTGGGCTCAGGCAATCCTTCCATTTCACCTTCCTGAGTAGCAGGGACTACAGGCATGCACCACCACACGTGGCTAGTTTGTTTATTTTTTGTAGAGATGAAGTCTCGCCATGTTTCCCAGGCAGTCTCAAACTCCTGGGCTCAGGTAATCCTCCTGCCCTGGACTCCCAAAGTGCTAAGATTATAGTCATGAGCCACCATGCTTGGCCAAATTTTTTCATTTTTAATTGTTGTAAAAAAAATACACACACCATTAAATGTATCATCTTAACCATTTTAAGGTGTATAGTTCAGTAGCATTAAGTATGTTCACATTTTATGTATTAGATCTCCAGAATTTTTTCATCTTGCCAAAATAAAACTCTATACCAATTGAATAATTCCCCATTTCTGCTTACCCCATCCCTTGGCAGCTACCATTGTACTGTCTGTCTCTATGAATTTGACTACTATATGTACCTCATATAAGTAGAATCATATAATAATTTGTCTTTTTGTGACTGGCTTACTTTACTTAGTATAATATCATTACAGCTAAATCCATGTTGTAGCATGTGACAAAAGTCCCCTCCTTTGTAAAGCTGAATAATAGTGCACTGTATATATGCTAAATTTTATCTATTCATCCATTGATATCCACTTGAGTTGCTTCCACTAGGAACTGTTTTTTTGTTTGTTTGCTTTTTGAATTGGAGTCTCACTCCCTTGCCCAGGCTGGGGTGCAGTGGCACTCTCACCACCAACCCAGCAACGACTTGCTGGGCTCTGGCGATCCTCCGCCTCAGCCTTCCAAGTAGCCGGAACTACAGGCACGCGCTACCACACCTGGCTAATTTTTTTATATATTGTAGAGATGAGTTCTCACCAAGTTGCCCGGGCTCATCTTGAACTTGTGGGCTCAGGCAGTCCACTCGCCTCAGCCTCCCAAAGTGCTGGGATTACAGGCAGAACCTGTAATTTTACAATTATATAAAGTAGTCACATGTCTTGAGTCAAATCAACTAGAAAATATATTTGAAGAAGTTACCTTGTTTTATCTTTCTCTTCATTCCTGTTTCCTCCTTCCTTTAGGGAGGTTTTTAATTTAATGATTTATTTTTTTAATCCAAGAAGATATATTAGATAGCGATTTTTATCTAAAAAGATATATATATCTATTTATAAAATCATTCAAAATATGTATACAAAGAAATGTATTTGTAACTGTCCCTTCTTAGAAAACGGTAGCATGCTATAAAGCTGTTCTACACCTTGATTTTATCACTTTATGAATGTAGTATAGAGAAATCTTCCTTATTTTTTTTTCCTTCTGTATAGTTATTCCATTGTATGGATGTACTACACTTTATTCTATCAGTTGCCTATTAATAGACATTCAAATTGTTTGCAGTGTTTTGTTGTTAAAAATAGTACTGCAAAAATAACATACTACATAGATGTTCTTGTGGTTTTGCCAGTGCATCTGTGATGAACAGTTATAAGAGTAAGATTACTAGGGCAAAAGATATGTTCTTTTTTCAAGATACTGCCAAATTCTCCTTAGTAAGCATCATACCATTTTGTATTCTCACCAGAATGTGTGAGAGGGCCTATTTCCTTCCCCAGAGTTCTTAATTAGAATATGTTGTCAAGTTTTTAAACTTTTCTTACTGTTTGATGACACATGGTTTTAGATATGGTTTTTGTTTTCATTTTTCTTAGTGTGAACATCTTTTCACATTCAGAGCTGTTTCCATGTCTTTTTCTATCCATTTCTAAACTGTCTTTCTATACAGCTAATTTTTTTTCTTTCTAGTTTTAGAGATTCTCTGTGTGGGGAGATATAAATCTTTTTTCTCTGATATAAGCTATAATTTTTTCATTTTTTGCAGTTTATCATTTGTCTTTTACTTTGCTTGTCAGATCTTTTGCCATTTAAAAGTTTTAAATTTCACCTTTCTCCTTATTGCTTGTTGATTTTTAGTCATTTTTTAGTAAAGTTTGTCCACTCCATGATTACTTTTCTTTTAGTCCCCATGTAGTTTGTTCTCCCTTCTCTTGCCTTCCCTTCCCTCTTCCCCTTTCCACTTCCCACCTTCTTTTCTGGTGTACACTTCTTGATCCATTTGGATTTTGTTCTGGTGTATGGTGTGAGGTATGGTTCCAATTTAATGTTTTTCCAAATGGATATTTAGTTATCCCAACACTGTTTTTTACAAATCTTTCTTCTCATTGACTTGAGATCCTCTTCCTGTTGTTGTTTTTACTATATTTATATATGTAATTGAATGTTTTGAATTTTCTGTTCTCCATTCGTCTATATCCATGTGCCATTACAACATTGTTTTAATTGTAGGGGATTTACAATATGTTTTAATATCTAGGAAAGCTAGCTTTCTTCTTTTCAGTGTGTTTTTTCTGACTTTCTTTTTCTTGTATTTTTTTCCATTTCTCAAATAATCTTCATAGTCAGCTTGTCTTGCTCTGATGAGAAAAAAACCTGATGGAATTTTTATTTGTACTGCATTAAATGTATAGATTAATTTAGGGAGGACTGGCCTTTTTTTTTTTTTTTTGAGTTGGAGTCTCACTCAGTCGCCCAGACTGCAGTGCAGTGGCCGCTCCCAGCCACCGCAGCCTCCACCCACTGGGCTCCGGCGATCCTTCCACCTCAGCCTTCCAAGTAGCTGGAACTACAGGCATGCGCTACCATGCCTGGTTAATTTTTTTGATTTGTTGTAGAGATGAGGTCTCTCCTAGTTGCCCAGGTGGGTCTTAAACTCGCAGGCTCAGGCAATTCACTCACCTCGGCCTCGCAAAGCAAGGGATTACAGGCTTAGCAACAGGACCTTTTTTAAAATGTTGAAACATTTTAATACAAGAAGATGATATGCCTTTCTATTGCAATCCTTCTTCTCTGTCTTTTGGAAATATTTTTGTATAATTTTCCTCATATAAATTTTTGATATATCATAAGTTTACATGTGTGTATTTGATTTTATTTTGAGATAGTATTTATTATTTCTTCTTTAACTTTTATTTGTATCTATGAAAGTTATTGAATTTTATGTTAATTTTATAATCTGTTACTTTTTGTAAGTTATCATGAATGAGCAATTTGGGCATGTTTCAGGAGAACATACTTAGCCTCTGGATCATATTGTATATGTTCAGATTTGTTGTGTGTCATGACCTGTGTAAATAATATTGTTTGTTTAATAATAGGAGTTAGAAAGGCAGAAACACATGTGTAGTGTGCTGCAGCATAAGATGGACGAACTCAAAGAAAGCCTTCGGCAAAGAGATGAGCTTATTGAGGTATGTACATGTACTGTGGAAGGACTTCGTTCTGAAAAAAATGCATTAAATGGGATGTGTATTGGGAGGGGAGGAGAATTAAATGTCACAAGGAGTTTAATTGTCTCTCTACGTTCGACTGTTCCCTAAGATTTTACAAACATGAAACATAAAGCCAGGCTTAAAAATTAATACTACAACCCCTATAAACATTTCCCCCTTTGATAGCAGAAGTTTTTATGTCTTTTATTCCTAAGCATACTGTGTCTTAATGAGATCTTCAGAAGTGGGCAAAAGAAAAAATTATAGAGTGACATTATTCTTTGGAATTAGTGAATGCCATCTTTTGGGACATAATTCTTTAGGAGTAAGAAGTTTTATCTGTACTTGGGTAGATACATATGAGGTGGCTAAATGAAAAAGAAGAAATGTCAGGATATATACAGAAAGGTCAAGTTTAGCTACTGTGGAGGTTCTGATTACTGTGGTGGTGAAGGAACTGTGTGTGCCACATTGTTGGCAACACTGTAGGAGTAGGAGGGAGCATAGTCCCCCAAGTCCTTGTGAGCCTACTAACTTGCATGCAACTCTATTGTTGACATGTGGCTATCCGTCTTGAGGCAGTGGTTTTTCATAAATATGGAAATAAGTTTGAGGGGGTTCGTGCCCACTATCTAGATGTGGCTATCAAGGGCCTCCAATGTTAACTTAGTGTTGACGACATGCAGTGTTAGGAAGGCTAGATATTAATGATTCCAGGTAAGATACCTCACTTGCCACACTCATCTGCATTCCTGGCTGCTCACCCCAGCCTTCCCCCACTCCCCACCTCTTTTCATGTTTCTCCTTGGACCTACCTCTCTTAATCTCTCTCCCTGTATAACTTTAAAAAACTATTTAATAGAGGAAAAGAAATGACTATTTTTTAGGATTGTTGCTATTTTTCATTATTCTTAAGAACAATTGAACATACCCAGAATTTATGGATTTTAAGGGGCAGATACAGATAACCCTTTGGATCTAACAGATTACATGTGAAGTTTATTTTCTTAGTTTTTCTTCATATATGGTAGGAAGCATATTATCTAAATGCTGTATCCTGCTAGTATTTAAAAATAATGTGAAATTCTTTCCCTTTTTGTTCTCTTATCTTTCTGTATCAATATACCAACCATTTCTTTTTCTTATTAAGATATATGCTTTCCACCTTTTATGATTTCAAAAGAATAACAAAACTGTTTTGGAGGCTACTTCTCAGATTCAGTATCTTAAGTTAGGATTGGTAAAATGTTCCAGTTTTTAATTGTAATTGCATTTGAGAGGAATTATAATGCTTGATTTCTTTTTTTTTTCTTTTCTTTTTTTTTTGAGTTAGAGTCTTACTTTGTCGCCCAAGCTGGAGTGCAGTGGCATGTTCACGGTCACCCCAGCATCAACCAGGGGAGCTTCAGTGATCTTTCTACCTCAGCTTTCTAAGTAACTGGAACCACAGGCGTGTACTACCATGCCCGGCTAATTTTTGATTTATTGTAGAGACAAGTTGCCCAGCTGGTCTCGAACTGCAGGTTCAGGCAATTCACTCACCTCAGCCTCCCACAGTACTGGGGTTGCAGGCTGAGCCACTGAGCCTGGCCATAATGCTTGATTTCTATAATTTGTCACTGTAAAAGCTCAGGGTGCTGGGTATAGATACTTCAAAAACCTTAGTTTTGATTTTTTGTGTGTGTCTAGATTTTACATTTCTTAGATGTTAGTATCCTTGGTTATGCCTAACTGAAAAGCTTTGAATATTGCCAATAATGATTTTTGGTCTTTAGAATTAAGAATTACATGGGGACCAGGTACAGTGGCTCAAGCCTATAATCCCAGAACTTTGGGAGGCCAAGGTGAGAGAACTGCCTGAACCCACAGGTTCGAGACCAACCTGGGCAACTTGACGAGACCTCATCTCTACAATAAATGAAAAAAATTAGCCAGATTTGGTAGCGCGTGCCTGTAGTTCTGGGTACTTGGAAGGCTGAGGCAGAAGGATCACCTGAGCCCAGCATGTCAACGCTGGGTTGACCATGAACGATCCATTGCACTCTAGCCTGGGCAATGGAGTGAGACGCCAACTCAAAAAAAAAAAAATTGCATGGTAAAGTAGATAAAGTACAAGTAGGTTATATTTAGTATTTTCAGACTGTGAAAAAAAAAATTTTTAAGATTTTTTAAAAGATAATATATGAGTAGGAAAAGTAGGAGATAATTTACTACCAATAATGCATAAAACGAAAACCTGTTAAGTATGAGTGTATAAATTGAGCATCATTGCCTAATCAAATGGGTCATTTAAAGATTGCTAAATGTTAAATTTCAATTTTTCTTAGAATGGATGTTTCTTTTATAATTCATGATGTTTTTGCCACCTTAGATTCTGCTGACAAATTGAAAATGATAATTTCTGCTTTAAAACATTCAAAACTATTGTTTCTTCTCTATGATAAAGGATTGTTTGTTCATAATCAAATCTGAATTTCCATCTCTAGAAATATAAGTTGTTGTTTGGAGAAAAGGCAGTTATCAAAGGAAGAATACACACATAGAGCTGTACGTACACAGAAATCCTAGCTGGCTTACTGCCACATAGCTGTGACTGGAACAGTTGTTCCCACTTCCCTTGCTTACTTTCATAGGGGCATGCCAGTGAGAATCATGTTGCCTAGACTCTAGATGTCATCTTTTCTTTTAGCAGCCTATCTTGCTTTTCCTGTTCATCACAGACTTTCCCCTTTTGTTAAGTTTCTTTATCAGTTTTATTTTTGTTTCCTCCCTCTAACCCTCTCCCTTTTTTTTCTTTCTGCTCTTTTATTCTCTTCCCCTCTTCCTCTGCAGGAGAATCAGCGCATGCAGCAGAAAATAGACACCATGACAAAAGAGGTGTTTGACCTCCAAGAGACACTTCTTTGGAAAGATAAAAAAATTGGGGTATGAGATGAAATTGGGTTTTGATTAGAAGTTCATTGATGAGGACTTCAACAATAGAATTTAACTTAGAGATCCCGAAAAATCTGTCCTTTTATTATCCTCAAGCATGTGTTTTAGTATAGAGACAGAGCAGCAGACTAAAAGAGACTTCCATGGGAAGACCTGATGCTGTGCCTGGAAAGAACTCTTCTTTTCAGTCAACACTGGGCTCATGAAACCTACAACTAGGAAGTTTCTCTTTATTCCCCTAGGATACTTATCCGGAAGCTGATTCAGGCATTTGATTCAGACTCTGTGGGTAACTCAATATCCTTACATTACAAGAATTTGGATAAGAAGATAGAGAGTGGGGGTGGGGAGAAAGTTCCTGGCATTCTGTAAATCCTTGGTGAATAAAATAGGGAGAGATTAAAATCAGTTTAATTATGGAAGTGGATAGGAATGTAAGGCTTGCCAGAGTCACTGTCTCTAATTATAACCCCAGAACTCCCCAAAGCAAGGGTTCAGATAAGGAAGAAGTCTTCATTGCTGTTTTGCTAAGCCCTGCTGGTAAGATTCCAAGTACACTGGAGGCTGAAAAAATTTCCACCAGTTCATTTCATGTAGCCTTTGACTGACAATCCCATCACCTGGCATGAGAGCTCTCTTCTGCCAGTAGGGAAACTTAGCTGTGGAATGAACAGAAATAACCTTTGAGGAAAGTCTTGTTTTGCTTGAGGTTAAGTGGGATAGGGATAGGAAAAAGTTGGCAAAGATCCCCGAGAGCCCATGAGAGACTTGCCTGGATGTGAAACCCTCTGGATCATACTCCCCATCAGGAACATTCTGAGGCCCAGCCAGCAGTCAGCAACATCCAGTCCTTTTTATCACTCCAAGGACCCTATCCTCTCATTAATAAATACATAAGAAGACTACATTACCTCTCAAGAGTTTGTAGACTAAACACTTAAGGAACCAAAGCTACTTTATAAATAATTTTTTGATGTTTAAATTACTGAGTTGAAAAATTTCACCCAAACCTTGAAAAGCCTTCTGGGGGAGAAATTAACAGCTTTGATAGGCATTTTGAAATAGTGATTGTGAACCACTGATTTTATTTAAATTTTTGCTTGGGAAATTTAAAATAAAGATGTGAAAAATTGTGTTGTACAAAATAGGGAAAAAATTAAAAGTTTAGTTAAAATTTGATCTTTGGCCGGGCTCAGTGGCTCAGCGGCTCAGCCTGTAATCCCAGCACTTTGGGAGGCTGAAGCGAATCCATTGCCTGAGCCCACGGGTTTGAGACCCACCTGGGCAACTTGGTGAGACCTCATCTCTACGATACATCAAAAAACTAGCCAGGCATGGTAGCATGCACCTATAGTTCCAGCTACTTGGAAAGCTGAGGCGGAAGGATCGCTGGAGCCCAGCAGGGTGAGACTGCGGTGGCCGGCAGCGTGCAACTGCACTCCAGCCTGGGTGCCAGAGTGAGACTCCAACTCAAAAAAAAAAAAAATTTGGTCTTTATCTAGAATATGCTTCTTTTAGGAACTTACATAATTTTCTGTAGCACAGATCTATAGGGTCAGGATTTCTAACTTGTATAATTGTCTTAGATTTCAAACTGATTTAAACCAGTTGGACTAGTCATAGAAAAACCGTAAACCTCTCAGTCCAGTAAAACAGCTATTCCATACAAAACAAAAATTTTTTGCTACCAAAACGGTATGCTGATAGTTAAGATACAAATTATTTGGCTTTTGAAGTGTCTTGACATTTATTGAATGAGTAAGTGGGTATTTTTATTCTATGTGCTATACCATAATATGTTCCTTTGACTTTTTAAAATTAAACTTTATTTTGAGAAAATTTTAGGTTCTTACACATGCAGTTGTAAGAAATAATACAGAAAGATCCTGTATATCCTTTACCTAGTTTCCCCCAAATGTAGCATCTTGCAAAACATAGTACAATCACTATTACAACCAGAATATTGACCTTGTTACACCTAAGGTACAGAACATGTTCATCACTGTAAGGGATCTCAGAGGTTTGTTTTTTTTTGCCATTGTATAGCCATATCTACTGCCTCCCTCCCCTCCTTCTACCTTTGCTCCTGGGAACCACTGATCTTTTCTCCATTTCTACAATTTTGTCTATTTTTTGGAGTTTGGAGCCTCACTCCATCACCCAAGCTGCTGGAGTACAATGGCATGCTCATGGCCACCCCAGCCCCAGCACTGACCTGCTAGGCTCCTGTGATCCTTCCACCTCAGCCTTCCAAGTAGCCAGAGCTACAGGCATGTGCTACCACGCCCAGCTAATTTTTTATTTATTGTAGAGATGAGATCTTGCCAAGTTGTCCAGCTTGGTCTCGAACCTGCAGGCTCAGGCAATCCACTTGCCTCAGCCTCCCAAAGTGCCTGGTATTACAGGCTGAGCCACTGAGCCCAGCCCTAATTTTGTCATTTAAAAAGTGTTATATAAAAGGAATGAAATTATACAGTGTATATTAACCTTTTGGAATTAGTTGTTTTCACTCAGTGTAAGTGCAAGATTTATCCGAGTTGTTGTATATATCACTTGCTCATTCATTCTTTGGCTCTTTTTGAATTTAAAAGTGCTAAAATACAAATAACATAGTGTTTGCCATTTTAAAGTGTACAGTTTAGTGCCATTAAGTATGTTCACGTTGTTGTGCTACTGTCCCCACCATCCATCTCCAGAACTTTTTCATTATACCAAACTGAAACTATGTATCCGTTAACTCTCTATTTTCCCCTTCCCACAGCCCTTTCAACCACCATTCTACTTTCTGTCTCTATGAATTTAACCAATATTTGTCCTTTTGTGATGGACTTATTTTACTTAGCATAATGTCCTCAAGGTTCATGTTACATCATATGTCAGAATGCTCTTAGTTTTTAAGGCTGAGTCATACTCCATTTTATGTATATACCACTTTCTTCTGTTGGTAGACTCTGAGTTGGCTATTATTAGTAATGCTGCAGTGTCTCTTCAAGACACTGCTTTTCAGTTCTTTGGGGTGTATATACCCTGAAGTGGAATCGCTGGATCATATAGTAATTCTGTGTTTAATTCTTTTGAGGAACAGCCGTACTGTTTTCCATAGGGCTGTGTCATTTTACATTTCCATCAGTAGTACATAAGGGTTCCAGTTTCTCCATGTCCTTGGCAACGCTTTTTGTTTTCTCTATTATTAATAGTAGCTGGCTGGGCTCGGTGGCTCTGCCTGTAATCCCAGCACTTTGGGAGGCTGAGGCGAGTAGATTCCCTGAGCCCCCGGGTTCAAGACAAGCCCGGGAAATTTGGTGAGACCTCATCTCTACAATAAATAAAAAATTAGCCGAGCGTGATAGTCTTGCCTATAGTTCGGGCTACTTGGAAGGCTGAGGCAGAAGGATCGCCGAAGCCCAGCAAGTTGATGCTGGGATGACCATGAACATGCCACTGCACTCCAGCCTGGGCGATGGAGTAAGATTCCAACTCTTAAAAAAAATATGTAGCCATTTTAATACAATCAAGTTGGTCCTCTCTAGACTATTAAAAGATGCATTTTCAATATGGTCAGTGACTACCTAATGCATCACTTGTCTCTAACTTCATTTTCAAAATTTTTATTTAATTATGTAATAAAGAAACATGTCTATTATTCCCAGGTTGAAGCTGTTTTCTAGTTCTTCCTTCATTGGTGGTCTTGTCTCTAGCTCCACTGCAGTTCTAAGCACCAGGATCCCATGCATAGAATAGGTGCATATGAAGAACTTGTATATCCTTATAGCCAACATAAACTCAGTCTCATTCTGACCAAAGATATTTGTACCCCAATATAATTATATACAGAATTAACCTGTTGCCCCAAAGTTCAGCCCTTTATACATATTCTTTTGGCTTCTGGATGCTAGAATTTGAGGTTAGGCTAGGAACAAAGAATTATTTCGATCTCTACAAACATGTACTTTTCACCCTAAAATGAAATCTACTGTAGGAGCTATTGTTGCATGCACAATAATGACACAAGGGTAGTCATTATATGGTTTGGTAATACAGAGGATTTCAGACCCAGCGTGAACATATTTGATCCAATTATAAGGTACCTTCGTAGTCTTCAAACTTTGTGGTGAAATGGGTACATTTACAGGATATATTTTATTTCCCCATCTATAATTATGGGAAGATCAAATTAAAAAGTCCAAAGGTAAAAATAAAATCCAGAGCAATAGGATGTGGAAGAGAGCAAATGTCAGGTACTAGCATTTGCTAGAATTCCTGGTTCCAAATTGCCCTGTTCTGAAGAGGTCTTTCGTATTCAGTGGTGTTGTTTATACAGAGCATGTTGTGACAGTGATTGTTTACTCAGTTAGATGTGGTGATGCATGGCATAACTATGCACGCAGATGCCAATAAGCAAAAATGTCTGTCTTAGTATACTGAGATTAAAGTGATTCACAGCAGATGTGAAAGGGTTGCTGTGGCTTGTTCTTTTAATGTTTCACTCGCTATTAATGTAACGGAGTGTTAATACCAGCTTGAAGTGTTAAAGTAAATGTCTTACGGTGCTAGAAACCCAGCTTATTTACAGGCAAGCTTTATTTTTTTATTTCTTATTTTATTTTTTTCAGTTGGAGTCTCACTCTGTCACCCAGACTGGAGTGCAGTGGCCGCTCCCGACCACCGCAGCCTCGACCTGCTGGGCTCCGGCGATCCTTCCGCCTCAGCCTTCCGAGTAGCTGGAACTACAGGCGCGCGCTACCACACCTGGCTAATTTTTTTATTTATTGTAGAGATGAGGTCTCGCCAAGTTGCCCAGGCGGGTCTCGATTGCCCAGCCGTGGGCTCAGGCAATCTACTCACCTCAGCCTCCCAAAGCTACAGGCAAACTTTAAACACATAATACAGTATGAATGTAAATTGTTGAAAGAAAGTCAGATATTGACATTGAAATTTGGATAAGTAAAGAGTAGGACTGGCCCTGTGGACAGCTTTCCCAATATCATATGGGCTGATAATAAGGGAATACAATGTGGCTTTCTTAGGGCTGTGATGCAAAGAAAACTTTGCAAAGACTTTGGAGCAAACAGGACTGGATTCATTTTCTGGCTTTGCCACTTACTGTGTGACTTTGGGCAATAAAGTATAGCCTCTTTGAGCTTCAGTTTTCTCATTGAAAATTAGGGCAATACAAATACAAGATATATAAGGGAGAAATTTCATATATAAAGTAATATTAAGGGAGAAGTTATATGAAATAGAGCCTGCTTAGCCGGGCATGGTAGTGTGTGCCTGTAGTTCCAACTACTCAGAAGGCTGAGGCGGAAGGATCGTTGGAGCGCAGCAGGTCGACGCTGGGGTGGCCATGAGTGTGCCATTGCATTCCAGCCTAGGTAAGGGAGTGAGACTCCAACTCAAAAAAAAAAAAAAAAAAAAAGAAGAAGAAATAGTGCCTGACATGCAATTTGTGCTATACAGATGGTAGTTGCTGTCATCACATATTTACTTATTCTCAATCTGGTTGGAGAATAGGATTATAATGATTTTAAAAACTGTCCAAGTGTTCAGCTATCAGTAACTAGGCAGTCAATTGTCCCACTTTTTTTTTTTTAAAGCAGGATTTATTGAGAGGACAGAAAAACTCCCAGGTACCTGTTACAGTTAACTTCTTGAATTAATGGTAATGCTGTGAGAAAACATTAACTATATGAACAAAAATATGTAGAGACAGGCTTTTCAAATAGGCCAGTTGCCAGGTTCCTGCATGGACTCCTTAACTTAGGTATGTGTTAAAGTCTGGGTTATTTTAGTTCATAGTTACAGTAGATTTGATTTGTCATTGGTGACCAAAGTATGTCACTGCTTCTCTACTGTCCTCAGCTCTGACAATTGTGAGATTCAGGAAATGGCAGGGAATTTACAAATGAAGACATTGGCCTGCTTTTCCTGAATCTTCCCCGTTACCTTCAGCACTGCAGGCAATGCTTTACCCTGAGTACTCCTTTGAGCCTCTGCCCATGGGATGGGTGCGTTTATCCCTTCTTGTTTTCAGATGAGGAAACTGAGACATAGTATAAGTATATGCCAGGATCCAAAAGCCTGATTCTGAAATCCATATTCTGTAAGCCTTCATAGGTGGGCTGTATTTATTTTGTCAATGTTTTGAAGTTTTTTCCCCACATTTTGAAAGTATATCACAAAACCAAATGAGTCTCAGTTGTATTTAATTAAGTTGATAGAAATATATCCTTGAATCCTTTTGGAGATTAGCTATTTTGGATGAAGAGATATTCTAGTACGTTGTCACACTACTTGGAGAACAATCATACAGCCAACATTGAATTAAAATATGTAGCCAGGTAGAGTGGCTCACTTCTGTGATACCAGCACTTTGGGAGGTGGAGGTAAGAGGAATGCCAGAGCCCAGGGGTTCGAGATCAGCCTGGACAACTTGGTGAGACCTCGTCTCTACGATAAATCAAAAAAGTTAGCTGGGTGTGGTGGTGTGCACCTGTATTTCCAGCTACTTGGAAGGCTAAGGCAAAAGGATCACCTGAGCCCAGCAAGTCAAGGCTGTGGTGGCTGTGAGCATGCCACTGCACTCCAGCCTGGACAATTGAGTGAGACTCTGGGGGAATAGAAAATATTTCTTATGTATATTTAATTCAGAATAATTTTTAAATTTTTGATAAATTATTTTAGTTGAACATGAAATGTGTCTTTTTGTTCACCAAATGAAAATGTACTGAGGCAGTCAGTAAGAAAAACTTTATTTTACTATGACTGCTGTCTTCATCTTCCTTTTCCTATTTTTTTCATGGACTAAACAAGATAAATTTGCTTCCCTGCTTGATGTGATTAAACATGTTTTGCCAGATTTATGCATGAGAACCTGATTCTTTTAAAACTCTCTTCTGGAGATGTATATCCTTATAACTTAGTGTTTCCTCTCATATCTGCTTGTTTCCAGTCTGTTGACTACTTCCTTGCTTTATATGCTTTTATCTTTGCTTATTTGAATTAGGTACTTCTCTGCTACCTTTCACCTGCTCTTTTTCTGTGCCGTTCTTTCCCTTGCTACCCTGCCTAAAACCAGGCCCTAGAGAAACAGAAAGAGTACATTGCCTGCCTTAGGAGTGAGCGAGATACACTCAGGGAGGAGCTGGCTGACCTGCAGGAGACAGTGAAGACAGGAGAGGTATGTTAGCATTAGCCTGGAGCTCAGATCCCTTGCTGCTTTCCTCTGTCTTCCTTTCTTCCTGCTATCTTTCCTAGCCTAAATACAAACTACAAAGTTTATTCCCTAATTCAGATTTGGAAGGTTTAAGTCATTTCTTCCACAGAGCTATATTCCACTTAACTAATTCTAACCAGGTTTTATCTGTGGCAAACATGTACTGTAGCAGAATTAACTCTCAGAGCTTACTGCTTCCGTGTGGACCATCTTTTGTGATGGTGGGTTTTTTCTTCCCCACAGAAACATGGCTTAGTTATAATTCCTGATGGCACTCCCAATGGTGATGTTAATCATGAACCAGTGGTTGGAGCCATCACTGTTGTGTCTCAGGAAGCTGCTCAGGTCTTGGAGTCCGCAGGAGAAGGGCCACTAGGTAAGACACTGGTTGCTATGTTGACTTGGATTAATGTTGCCTGATTGAGCTTTCTGCTTTTTCATATCCCAGCTTGAAAAACAAAAACAACTAAGGGCTGTCTGAGACTCAGGTAGATTCTTAATAGGAAGAATCTGGGTACAGTGTCTTGAGAGATCCTTGACCTTGGGCAACCAACATCTGGAGCACTGAAAGGCAGTAAGTGTAACTTTAAGGCCCTGGATGGAAGTACTGTGGGTATATACACATTACTTTTACACTTAACTACAAACTTTCTGCAAAAAGATAACCTAGTGCATCCATTCCAAGGAAGCAGTGGGCTGGAAGGAGACTTCTCAAGTATGTTTTAAGTTTCTTATTCCTGGAATATCTGGTTCTGTGTTCCATGGCTTATCCTAGGGTTCGGTACCTCTTTGCCACCACATTTCTTTTCTGAGTCAGAGTCTCACTCTGACGCCCAGGCTGGAGTGTACTAGCACACTCATAGCCACCAGAGCCTTGACCTGTTGGGCTCAGGAGATCCTTCTGCTTCAGCCTTGCAAGTAATTGGAACTACAGATGTACACCACCACACCCCCCAATTTTTTTTTGATTTATTGTGGAGATGAGGTCTCTCCATGTTGCCCAGGCTGGTCTCAAACCCATGGGCTCAGGGAATCCTCTCACCTCTGCTTCCCAAAGGGCTGGGATTATAGGTGTGAGCCACCGCACCTGGCACCACCACATTTCCTAAGGCAAGAAGCAGATGACCAAGAAGACAGATGTCAGAGAAGTGTGACTTCCAGAACAGGGCTTCCAGTCTCTTAAAGTCTAAGATTCTTAAACGTAACCCTTTGAGAATCGGAATTCTCAGGAAACCACAGAGGGCCCATCCATTGCCCTCACTAAGAATTTACTCTAGAGTAAATGGCATAGATAGATACTGTATCATCAGCTCACTTTTTTTTTTTTTAGTGATCTTTTTTCTTTTTTCATTTTGTTTTCATATATGTGTCAGTTTCTTAGTGGGAGATGCTGTGAGGGTGAAGCAAACTGAAGAACATTGTAAAAGTTAGTAAGCACATTCTCTAATGTGCAGAATTGCGGAAATGTAATTGTGGAGCACTTTGATAAATCAGGATACTGGCTGAGCAAGAGGGAAGATTTAGAGAATGGAATGAGTATATGGCTATGAGCAGCCCAGGTTGTTTCCTCAAGAAACCAGAACATCAACTTGGCCGTGACCCTAGTTGGTTTGTGGGGGGTGATTTGCCAGGTATGTGCTGCTGCTTTGACTGAACTCCAGGTGTATCCTCTGCCAGAGAAGTTTATTTTCAGGCTTGGGAAGAAATAGCTTCTCTATAGGCCAGGAGTGAGTCCTAGTGATCCTTCTACCAGGCCTCAGATTCGCCCTTGGTTGCCCACATCTCAGTCCCTTCCTTCCCTCCACTAGCCCCTGTGGACTTTGCTGGTTCTAGCGCTGCATTCTTCTCTTCTTTGCTGCAGCATCCCCTGCCCAGTCCTACTCTTACCCCATCTTCTTTCACGTATTTTGATCTCTGCCACTAACGGCTTACTGTGGGAGCACCCTTCACATTTGAGTTGTCTGTCTACTCGTGAAAGCTTGCAGGTTTTTGAAACAAAGAAATGATCTTTGTACTTTAGTATGTCTTGTGGAAAATCACTGATTTGGGGAGCAAATGTTATATTTGGCCCTGATAAACAGCAGTTGTGCGGAAATACATTTTGGATAATTAAGAACTTTTCCATAATGCTATCAAAGCCTTTATTTCTTTTGATATTCAGAGCTATATGTAATTTATCAGATAAAGTTTGCTATTTATGAGTTTGGAGAATTGTTTTTAATTGTTTATATACTACATCATCACATATGTAGTTTATAATCTTTTTCATTTGTTTTAGATGTAAGGCTACGAAAACTTGCTGGAGAAAAGGAAGAGCTACTATCACAGGTAAAGGCATTCTTTTCACTGGAAGGTAATATTAACTTTAGCTGATCAAGTTTCGTGGTAAATGTTAACAAACTAGAATGTTCATTAGAAATGTGCTTATTTCAAACATCAGTACTCAAGTGAGATTTGAGGGCTAAAAAGATCATTCATATTTTGCTTCTCTATTGTTTCCTGTTCTTTTTTTTTTTTTTTCTTCATTTTTTGAGAGAGCAGGATTTATTGAGAGGACAGAAAAGCTCCCACAATGGGAAGGGACCCGAAGGGGTTGCCCTGTTTCCTGTTCTTTAAAAAAAAAATTTAATGGCACATAAGTTTAAGGAGTCACATACATAGTTCTATAAAGCTTTTTATGAAGACAGCAGTCCCCTGCCCCTGACTGTTTCTCTTCAGCCCTCCCAGCTGATAGTTTTGGTGTGCACTGTCCTTGCATCTTTCTATGTACCAAGTTTATCTTGCTTCTCATTTGTTCTGTGCCAGGCATTCTGTACTGACAGCCCTCTGAAGAAGATGAGGTCATTGCTCTGTCATCTCCATGTTCCTGCCACACACGTGCATGACTCCCATCCCCCCAGCCTCCTAGTAAAGGAACAGTGTAATTCCAGTCTGCTTATGTCATTAGGACCCTCTAAACATGACTCACAGTAGAACCAGTTGCAGTCTAGATCACCTCTCATCTCTTTCTCTACTGTTTGTTTCCTTTAATGTTAATATTGCAGTTTTTCTTTTCATTTGCTTGGTTTTCTATGTGTTTTTCATTAATTTAGCCACAGAAGTCTCCAACAATAGTTTAAATGTACTCTTAGTATTTTCAGATGCATCAGATACTCTGTCAGTTCCATCTTGTTGAATCTTGGAGCATCTGACTTGTCCCATTCTGAACTAATGCCTCACCCTCTCACTGCAGATATGTGGTCACCCTTCATCAGCATCTGGGGATTTCCTTTGCCTGTGATTTGGGTTGAGTTCTCTTTTTCCATTGTTATATGCCCTCTTCACTCTTTATTTATTCTCATTGGTACATCTTTCAATAACTTCTTGAGGAAAGGGTATATGTGTTGTTAATTTTTCATGACCTTGCAGCCCTCTTCATTTTACCTTCTTACTTGATTAAAATAGTTTGGCTAGGTATAGAATTCTGAGTTACAATCATCATTTTCCTTCAGTCTTAAAAAAGACATTTCTGCATTGTCCTCTGACATCCAATATGGCTACTGAGAATTTTGTGAACATTTTGAATTCTGATCATTTTTTTGTGTGTGATCTATTTTTCCCATTTCTGGAAGTTTGTATCATATTCTCTTTCTCTCTAGTGTGCTGTTATGATTTGAGGACAGTGATGTGATTTGAAGTTTTCATGCATGGTACTGGGCTTCTTTCAAGTCTAGGAACTCCTGTTCTTCACTTCTGGGAAAATTTCTGGAGTGATTTGTTATTAATTTTCTTCCCTCCCATTTTCTGTCTTATCTCTTTCTAGAACTCCTATTCAGTCATTCAACAAATGTTGAGTGAGATTCCACCATTTAACATACTCTATCCTAGGCACTTGGGATATTTCAGTGAATAAATCAGTTATTAAAAAAATCCCCACTTCATAGACCTTAACATTCTAGTGGGATATCAGACAATAAACATAATTAATAGGTAAATTAAATGGTATGTTAGAAAGTGTGTGTGAATGCATTTATTATCTGTGTTTTTACAGCTACATTTAGCTGCATGGGTGCAGATATGGGGTGGGTAGAGAGGTAAATTTTACCAGGTTAGTGTTAATGGAGCAGAGGAGGTAAGGGAGGTAGGAGGTGATCATAATGGACCTAGAAATTAAACTGGATGAGGATGGATGAGGAGGGTTCAGAGGGCATCCAGGCAGTGGAAAGAAGATGATATCAATGGATTAGAGGTACCAGTAGGAATGAAGGGCTGTTGGAATGGGATCCTAGAGAGAATGACCTGGAAAGGTCGGGTCTAGTGGTCAGAGAGAGGATACATGGAACTGTGTAGGGATTGCAGTTATCTAATGATGAAATCTAGTATATGACTGTGAGAGTGAGTGGCTGAGAGCAAGAAGGAATAGATGGCAAGATCCTTGGAGTGAAGGTTCTAGAAACTGAGAAGTGAGTTGTAGGAGAGATCCTTTACCTAGACATACAGAGGGTGCCAAAAATGTATATGCATTTTAAAGGGAAAAACTAAAAATTGTAATAGTCAATATATACAGATAACCAAAGATGAGTACAAGTCATCTGAAACTACAAGAAATACTCAAGGTGGTTATCATCAGTGTCCAGATACTTCTAATTATAGCAAACTAAAAGTAATGCATAGATAACATCTCTTAAAATGTGTGCTCTTTTTTTTTTTGGCACCCCTAGTTTATTGAAATTGCCAAGAATTAAGTCAGTAATAGTCTTGAGCGTGTGTAAGGCAGGAGTTAAAATGGTGAAGGAGGAGTGGGATTGTGGCAATGATGAAAGGGAGGTGGTATATATAATTTGAAGAGATGAGATTAAGACCTGGGACTTCTAGAGAGGATGGAGGGAGAATCGCTCGACAACAGCAAGGAAAGCAAGAGGACAGCTATCCCATTTTTAGGCTCAATGGTAGGAAGCTGTGGAAGAAAAAAAATAGCCAGTGCTTGAGAGGGCTGCAGGAGCAGCAAGAGTCTTAATGGTGACCATGTTTCCATTAGAGCGCAAGGTAAAGGGAATGCTCAGAAAAGAGATTGAGGGCAGAGGGGCACTTGCTGATGATGGACTCATCACTCCAGAGAGTACAGTGGGAAAGGTTAGTAGATGAAGGTTAGGGGTTGCACAGACCTTGTGGGATGGATATAAGTAGGAGTGATGGAGAGAATGAGGTTAGTCCTGGTTCCCTCGAGGTCAACAGTAAAGGTGATCCTGTTTGTGTGTTGAAAGGGCAGAGGTGTCTGGGAAGGAGGGATTTTGTCCCAGTGTCGAGCTCACCCTTTCCACAGTGGGGGAGTAGCAGGCTTAATCTTCCCCTTGATCCCTGTTGGTGGAGTTGAGGTCAGTTGGGGAAGCCATATATGTATACCCAATTATTTTTGCATATGGAGAGTTTTCTAAATAAGAATATCTAACCTATCTCTAAAATTACACAGAAAAATCTGCTTAAGGAATCTTCCATTTTTAAAAATAATCCCTTGAATACATTCTTTTTTTAAAAAAATTATTTTCTTAGAGACAGGGTGGGTCTTGTTATATTGCCCAGGTGGGCCTCAAACTTCTGGACTCAAGTGATACTCCCACCTCAGTCTCCCAAGTAGCTGGGACTATAGGCATGTGACACAGTGCCTAGCTAGAATTTTCCATTTTTAATTCAAGTTGAATAAAAAATACCTAAAAGATGTATTGTTCCTTAAACATACACAAATAAGAAAATATGGCCATTTTTATTGGGACACCTGGTCCTGGGGCCGGCTTCTTTTGGTATTTGTTCATAGCTTATCTCTAGCACCTAGAACAGAATGTGTCCCATAATGGGCACACATGAAAACAGTGTTTGAATGAATGAACGATTTGTGTGGCTGATGCCATGAAGATCTGCCTTTTCTATGTGATCATTAGATTAAGCACGTGCTTCATCTGATAGGCTGGCTCTTGCTGATGGACCTTTGTCTTCATTTCAGATTAGAAAACTGAAGCTGCAGTTAGAGGAAGAACGACAGAAGTGCTCCAGAAACGATGGCACAGTGGGTGACCTGGCAGGACTGCAGAATGGCTCAGACTTGCAGTTCATCGAAATGCAGAGTAGGTGTTAGGGGACAGGTCTGTCCCAGCCTGCTTACAGGTTGTGTTCCAGGTTGCTGGAGACTTATAATATACTTTTCTCAAGAGACGCTATGCTACCAAGATTGGCAAGTCCTTGGCTCATGCAGGAAAGCAGTCCTAGTTGCAGTATAGCTGACTAGTAGCTCTGCTGGTTTGTGCTGCAGGGACTGATGGGAGGAACAAGTTGCTGCTCTTACCCTTTCTAGGCAAAGTGGTTTCTAGGAACTTTTTGCAATTAGTGAAGTGCCTTTGACAACCTGACACTGTCCTTGTTCACAGCCATGTGTCGTTTTTAAGCTCCCATACAGCACCTTACCTATTCAAGGGTTTTTTTGGTGGAATTTATCTTGGATAATTGGAGGAATATATTTAGAACTAACTCACACTAATGTGAAATAGTTTCAGAATCTTCTTAGAAGTATTCTTGTTAATCCAAATTAGTATTTTTTAGGTGGTATTTAAAACAAGGTCACAAAGTAAAGTCTAGTGTATTTATTTTATCCAAATGATTCTAGTTTTTCTCCCTTTCTACTTTTGACCCCATATTATTATTATATAAAATGACTACTGTAATCACACTACTTCCCACAATAGGAGATTGCAATAGCCATTTGTATATAGTTAGCCTTTGTTAGTGATGATGTATAATTCAGACAGGGAGACTTTTATTTTTGCAGTCTGAATGGTGGCTTTTCTGATAACCAGTCTTAATATCTTGGTTATTCCATGGCCTTTTCAGCTAAGTATTCTGAGTTAGGCTGAAAAGACTTCTTGGATTAAGGCTAACTTTGGAGATTGGTGTTATACTCTTTGGGGTATCAGTTAGGACACTTGTGACATTTCCTGGTGAATATTTTGGTTTTGGGTGTCATCTGGTATGGAGGGTGGATGAAGACAGGGACATGAGATGAGGCAGGCTGCCTAGTCCGCAGTCTTAGTGGGCAGGGGGTAGATTTGAGAGACTGTCCTAAAGCCACAAATTTAAAAGTTAACAGTTTGAGGGGGAATGGTCTGGCATTTATGTGTGAATGCTTCCTAGAACAGGTAGTTGTCATAGAGCTGGTATTTGCAGAAGGCAGAGAAAAGTGCCCAGTGTGGATGTGTAGAATGAAGCGAGCTGAGCAGGACTGTAGGAAGGCTGGGTCTGACTGGTGAAGATAAGAGTAAGCAGCTCCCTGGACCAGGCAGCCAGGAAGGGAGTTCAGAGGTGCTGGGTTCTAGACAGTCTTGGCTGTCACACATGGTGTTCTAGAAGGGATTTCAAAAAATGCATGAAATGACTGACACGAAATAACACTTTTTAAAACAGGAAGGAATGTGGGTGGCTTAGAGAGTGAGAAGGAAGCAACGCATTTTGACAATCAATAGAATGCTGGGGATAAGAATTTTAAAATAAGATCCTGAAGCATCTGTTTTAGAGCTCAAGAATAGGAATAGTTCTCTTTCATGACTAGAGATGGCTTTTAGGGAGATGGCTTTATAATCCCATTACTTTTAAGGTGATAGTAACTGTCCAATTAGAAAAACTTCTTGCACTGAAGATTGTATGGGTAAGTGTAACTTTGATCATGTGGGCACGTAGAAGTGTTCTTGAGTAATTTGAATATTTCCTTTGGTAGGTTAGGTTTGGCTTATCTCCTGCAAGTCTATGATTCTATAATCATTCCAGAGGTTGGTTTTTGTTAAATTTGGGTTCCTTGTGGAATTTTAACCCCTTGCACTCAAAGACATCTTATGTACTGCCTAACAACAACTCAATTGTACTTTTGTATAAAATAGTGAAAAACAAATCACTTCATATTAATAGCATAGCTTTGGAACCAATTATTTTATTATAATGATAGTTGGCTTACAAAGGAATTATGGACATTGAGGAACTTATTTATGACCAAAAAAAATCAAAATTTTTTTATCTTATATTTTTCTAACACGGGGTAACATATAAAACAGTCACCAACACACACTGCAGGTTCATTGATCATGTTGTATAATAGTAATTTGTTTGACGTTTTCCACCTGGTATTTTTCTATTTGAACAGAAAATGCAGTCTCATTTTCTTTCTCCCACATTAATATAATAATGTGTAATCTATTGTCCAGTCTGTTGTTCAAAGACAATGTGGAAAGACATTCTTTCTACATAATGCCAGCTGATTTTTTTTTTTAACGTGTATCTCAGTATATATTTCATCTCTTTGCTTTTTTGTACAATTTGAATGAAAATTTTTGAAAAATTTGCATACATTTTTGATAAATTTGTCCTGTAGATGTCCCCTGAGAGGGGACATCTGAGTCATTTGTAAGATGTACAATGTCCCCTCAGAGGGGACATCGAGTGCAAAGGATTTGAAATCTCCCCCATCAATTCTAAACTTTTTAAGTGACATTCCTTCTTAGGTCAGATGTACATCTCATGATTTACAGCTCTACCCATAACACATTATCACACGTCAATGAAAAGTATTAATTTCAACAAATATTTATTAAGCACACACCATGTGCACAGCAGCACTTGGCTAGGTACAGAGATAGATTTAAGAAAGCTAAGACAAGACTCTTCTTACATACACATACAACATTTTAAAAGCAATAATAATCCAGGCTTGGTGGCTCAGCCTGAAATCCCGTGCTTTGGGAGGCTGAGGTGAGTGGATTTCCTGAGCCCGCAGGTTCGAGACCCACCTGGGCAACTTGGCGAGACCTCATCTCTACAATAAATCAAAAATTAGCTGGGTGTGGTAGCACATGCCTGTAATTCCAGCTACTTGGAAGGCTGAGGTGGAAGGATCGCCGGAGCCCAGCAGGTCGAGGCTGCGGTGGCTGGGAGCAGCCACTGCATTCCAGTCTGGGTGACAGAGTGAGATTCCAACTCAAAAAAAAAAGCAATAATAAATGCCATTAAAAATGCAAATAAAATGCAACAAGAAGTTATAATTAATGAAGGAGAGTCATGGAGGAGGTGTAAATTTAACTTGGACTTGAAGATTGGTTAAGACTTAAACCAGAGGTGGGATGAAGGGTCATTGAGGTATGGGAGAGCAGAAGCAGAAGCTGGAAGGTAGAAAGGTATAGGGCTGGGTTCAGGGAACCAGAAGGCCCGGTCCTATGGGCCACAAGGCTAGATGAGGTTAAGGGGCTACTGAATTGGCAGGGCCCCTTTCTCAGGCTCTGCTCACATGCATCATGGGGTGAAGATTGAATTTTCTTCTGACTCTTGCTCTAAGGGATACTGTAACATTAAGCGCTAAAACATCCTGTGGTATATACAATCTGGAATCACGGCTAAAGATACTGTGGTTGCTGAGTGTGCATTTGTGTTTTGTAGTCTTAGGTTGCAAGTCCTCTCTGTCTTGAGGCATTGCCTGGTGGTTCATACCTTCATCTCTGAGAGGAGAAGATAATTCATTGTTATCTTGTCTTTTAGGAGATGCTAATAGACAAATTAGTGAATATAAATTTAAGCTTTCAAAAGCAGAACAGGATATAACCACCTTGGAGCAAAGTGTAAGTACCACGTGCTTTATATGGTACTACGTGATTTAAATTTTCTTTAAAACACATCTCCATCCTGTACCTAAGTAGCTAATCCTATGAGTACCTGGCTTGCTGCGGGCTGCCTTTGCAGTTGGATCTATAAAAGTTCTATAGTAAAATAGAAAAGCCAGCTGGGCTTAGTGGCTCAGCCTGTAATCCCTGCACTTAGAAGGCCAAGGCAAGTGGACTGCCTGAGCCTACGTGTTCAAGACCAACCTGGGCAACTTGGTGAGCCCTCATCTCTACAATAAATCAAAAAATTAGCTGGGCGTGGTAGTGTGCACCTTTAGTTCCAGCTACTTGGGAGGCTGAGGCGGAAGGATCAACTGAGCCCAGCAGGTCAAGACTGTGTTGGCCGTGAGCATGCTACTACCCTCCAGCGTGGTGGGTGACAGAGTGATACTCTGACAAAAAAACAGAAAAGCCAGCCGGGCTCGGTGGCTCAGCCTGTAATCCCGCGCCTTTGGGAGGCTGAGGTGAGTGAATTGCCTGAGCCCGCGGGTTCGAGACCCGCCTGGGCAGCGAGACCTCATCTCTACAATAAATCAAAAAAATCAGCTGGGCGTGGTGGCGCATGCCTGTAATTCCGGCTACTCGGAAAGCTGATGTGGACGATCGCCGGAGCCCAGCATGCCGAGGCTGCGGTGTCCGGGAGCGGCCACTGCACTCCAGTCTGGGCGACAGAGTGAGACTCCAACTCAAGAAAAAAAGAAAAAA